CCTTGCATCCGGTTTCAATTGTTGTCCATTTCGTGGGCAACGACCATTTCACGTCCTACGGCGTTTATAGGTCAACGGGTCACACTAAGGTTGCGTTATCCACAGAGAAGCCTCCCCATAACCAAGTTACTATGGTGTCTCCTACAACAGGTATTGCACTAGCTAAACTTGTAATTACAGTAGCTGCCCAAAAACTCATTTGTCCCCATGGCAACACATACCCAATAAAAGCTGTTACAATCATTAATAATAGAATGACCACGCCAAGACACCATACTTGTCCAGTCGGCAAGTTCTACTACAAGTAGCAGTAGATCACTCGGTCTGACTGATGGCATCCCCACTCACACCAGAGGACCACCCTGATCACACCTAAACTTCAAGATGATCATGAAAATCTGTTAAGTTAAGCCCGCTGCCAATGCGTAGGCCCTGAGATAGCCAACACCTTGCCAAAGGAGAGGTCACTGAGGAGAAGACACAACAAGTAATGCCCCCTGCCTCCCCTCCTGTATGTTCTTGCCATCTGCTCCGTTCTCCATTTCAAGCGCACAATGCTTCATCTTTTCTTTTTTTTTTTTCCCGTGCATTTTCAGTATAACAACACCAAAAGGGGCCGGCCACCCCACATAAAGAATGGGACTGGGAGTTTTACCCAGCGTTATATGCTTTTGACGACAGGACCCCATGGGACCCGAGCCCGAARTGCAACTCTTAACTTACCCTCTCTCTGTTCAACCTTCTAGTAGGCTTTCAAGTTTAAACCCTAGACCCTAGTTTCTCGTCTCTTAACCCCTGACTGTCCTCACATCCTTTAAATATTAGCCCCCTTATATTCTCTCTCTTACCTTTTTCTACCTTCCTAATCTCCTCCTTTTCCTCCTTCCTCGCCTCCCTTGATCGCCCCCTCCCCCCCTCTTAAGAGTCCTAACCCTCCCTTGTTTCCACCGATCCTTTTTTCCTTATTTACCCCGCCCTCGCCCCTTGAACTTAACCCTAACCCCTGACCGCCGTCTCACCCCTAGATAATATCCCCTTTCCCTTCCTTTACCTATGCAATGCTTCGTCTAGTTGACAGACATGTGACAATATATACTAGCATTAGATGCAGCTGCGGAATGCAGCTTTGTGCTTCTGGCGCGAGGCTCCAATCAAATACCATCGGACAGATCAGACCTACATTCCTTTTCATGCTGGCCTGCAGAGAACTTGGAACCTTACTCACACAACCCTGAGCTACCTAGTCCACGAGACACTTCGAGGCTCTCGACTTAAGAAGTTGTTTCCAATCCATTTGTACCATTTGATAACGGCTTGTGAATGGCAGTGACCAGAAACCTGGCATATCTTTGAGGTTTCTCATCTGTAAGATGCTTCTGGGAAGAGTGTCGAGGGCTGTACACCCGTGCACATGGAGCAATATCAAGTTGTGCAGGTCAGAGATTTCCCTCGGCAGGTGAGAGAGGTAACTAGAACCAGAAAGATTGAGATCGACCAAACTGTTCAGCCTGCTGATAGAGCCTGGCAAATAAGTCAGATGCGAGTTATGTATTTGGAGTTTTGTCAGACTTGTCAGCTGCACGATGCTCGGAAATTCTGACGTGATGCAGAAAGCTGTGAGAGACATCTCCCTCAGACGAGTCAAGTTTCCAATCTCTGCCGGAAGGCATTTCCGCTGTGTTTTGTCTGGACACCTGCAAGCATCAAATTTGAGTGCAGCGTTGTTTTTCAGAGCAGCAGCTGTGTTTCCTGGCCCCGTCCCACAGAAATCGGTATCGCTGGATAAATGGAGTGATGTCAAATTTGTTAGATTACCAATGTGCGATAAACCTGTCGTGTGAGCACAGAGAGAGAGGTCCAAACTTCTCAAATTTGTTAGACGAGCTGTCACACGCAAGTCGTCGACGAGGAGTGAACAGCCGTTAAGGCTAGCCTGCTTTGAAATACTCTTAGGCAACTGTGCTGAACATGATGGACATAACAAACTGGCAGAGAACTCTGTGAGCTGCGTCATATGTCCCAGGTCAGCGGGAAGATGACGCACCTCTGTCGCACGCAGATCTAGTCGGCTGATGTTTGCGAGCTTCGCAATACCGTCTGGTAGAAATTGCAGTTTCTTACAGCCGGATAAATCCARRGATCTCAKCTTTGTCAGTTTCTCAATGGAATTAGGAAGAGACCTCAACCYRCTGCAGCCTGACAAATCCAATGAAGTCAGATTTGTTAGTTCTCCCAAGGAATCAGGCAAGCAGTYCAAGCGCTCACAGTGATTCAAATTCAAMGATGTCAAATTTTTRAGTTCCTGAAAGGAATCAGGAAGAGACTGCAAACCGACACAATCCCCTAAATCTAAGCGCCTTAACCGTCCYAGATTTTCGAYCCCTTTCCCCGCTTTGGGCAACTGAAGTTCATGGCAACCATGTAAGTCAAGTGTCGTCAGCTTCGATAAACCCATGACGGAGGGTGGTAAAGCCTGCAGACGGCATAGCGACAGCCACAAGCAGCTGACATTCGTCAAATTCCAATTCCYGAAATCCACAGGAAGGTYGACCATCTTCGSCCAAAAGCCATGAAGACAAAGGTCTTCGAGATGGRACAAAGATCCGATCGTTGACAACCGAGCAAGGTGGTCCTYGCACCCTAGATGCACTCCTGAACCAWGATGTATGCGCAGAACCCTGAGCAAGGGCAGCTCCCGAAAAATGCTGGGGTCAAGATTGAGCTGSCCGTTGCTATGAACTCGGATAACAAGCACCTGGAGACGATGCAGCCCTRCAATCATTGATGTGAAATCAGTCTCCGCAGAGACACAATCAAGTGTTATSCACAATGCTTGAAGACTGTGAAATGAAGAGATGGAGGCCGTGCCCGGAAGCCATGAAGAGTTYTGGAGACCTTCCAAGACTATGATTTTCGYTGTCCYGGACCYGAGAATTCCCTTCAGAATCTTYTGCACCAGMGGTGGCAGATCGCCRCCCCCRTCGTCACGACGTYGCATATGTTTCTGCGGGAARTCTCTGATRCAGCTCGGCAATTTTATRTAAGAACYCTCCAAGTCAGGTAGGGTGAGACTTGCGAGAGAGGGGGCTAGACTTTCTAGAACCCTTGTAAGGGAAGAGCGTGAGTATTCCCCCTTGAGGATCCACATGAATTTCCCTGCATTTACAACACAGTGACCCGAATCAACAACCATACTCTCATCTCCGCCCACAGACAACCGGTTTATTGCATTCGTGCCTCCCCCCCCCCACCTAGTACCAGCGGCGGGGTCGATGCCCTTGCCAATCTCCTGGACTGTTCGAGGTGGCGTGATGGAGTCTATCGTACAGATTGCTGCATGCCGAACTATATCGTGCAAGACCACATGCGATCCCCCGTTACGCTCCTCCACCAGAGAGAGTCTGATCAGTGAGCTCATGCAATCTCTGGAAGCCTGCAGGCGACCAACACGTGGATGGACTGACCAAAGGATTTCCATCATGTCACGGTCGATTTCATGATCRTCRGGAAACAGAGCCAATTCAAGAAACATGTCCAAGAGATGTTTCTTCTTCTTAGAGGAGAGGTTGTCAATGGACCGCTGGATGACCYTTAGGACATTTTCATAGTAGTCTTCGTTGCAGCCGGGCTGAGGTAGCACATCCAGGCTKGATCTCTCCAAGAATTCAAGCCATCTTTCCCAGAAGTCATGGTCCCCTCTTCTGGCAGAGAGATTTGACCCCACCAMCTGCAGAACCAACGGCAGCCCGCCACATTTTGCGCACACTTTGCGTGTCAGCTCGTCAAGATCTGGAGGAGGGCGTTCGCTACCGAATACGGAATAGCAAAACATATCGTATGCGTCTTCCATCCCCAATGGCTCCACAAGAAAAGTTTGGACCGTCGGRAGMSTTACRACATCTTTGTTTCTTGTTGTGATAACAACGGTACAGTTTGCATCRGCCACACGCTGAACCCACCCGATCTGGTCAGGACTCCAGACATCATCGATCACTAGCAGCAATCTCTTGTCTTTCAGCCATTGTTTCAAGCTAGACTCCATTTCTGTACCRCGACCACTCCCATCACACCYGSTCMCCRATTTTTCTAATGCCTGTCGAATCAAGTCATCGGCATTTCTCRCCTGCCCGCACAAGATGAACATGTTCCCATCAGGAAAMTCGTTTTTCAGCTCTTCGCTATCATGAATTTGTTTCGCCAGTGTTGTTTTTCCAACGCCACCCATCCCGTGCAGGCAAACCACTTCAGGCAAATCATCTTGTTCTGTCGGAGCACGTATAGCTTCAGACACCCTGCTCAAGGGATACTCCATGCCAAACACTCGGTCTTCAGTTGCAATTTTTTTGAACTCCAACTTCGAGTGGGTGGTGTGGCTTTGTGGATCTACCCAGCGACATAATTCTTCGAAGCGTGCCTCAATCCCCTCGCTCACCTGAAGTGTCTTCTCGCTCACCTGAAGATTCTTCTCGCTCACATGAAGATTCTTCTGTACCAGCTGTACATGGAGGTCGTTCTTCAACTTCTTGAGCTCGTCGTGGAGGTTCACAAGCTTTTTCTTAGCACGTCCACGCCTCAAGAACACCATAACTGCAGACAACCGTCCCCGCCATACACAAGGCCCTCTAATCTTGTCCAGCTGAGATATAAGACCCTTCACTCTTTCGGACAATTCCTCACTTTCTGCGGACGTCAACCCTATATCCTTGAGTTGTCTCAAATTGTCAGCTGTGCTTTTAATATCAGACTCAAAGCTCCTGCAGTTTTCCTTGTATTCCCATACTGCTCTAGCAAACTCTAAACCACGATTCACAAAGAGTTCGAAACCGTAACCAACAGCTGCACCTGCAATAAGGTCAGCCATTATGTATCCAAACTGAAGCTCTGGACCCTGCAACCTAGTAAGCACCATACAAGAGCAATAATTAGAATAGTAGTGGAAAACATAAGTAATTACATGCAACATCAGATACACACAAACCACATAGTACTCGATCCAGCCCACATGGTATTACACCTGGCCCAACTGGTAGAATACCCCAACCCACTTAGTAGCACACCCACTCCGCATAGTAGCACACCCACCCCACACAGGACCAGCCCCAACCAAAGAAGTATCACACCCAGTCCACATCATATCGCACACAGCCCACGTAGCAGTATTGCACCCTGTTCGCACAGTACAGACTCGACATTGTATTTGGACCGATGATTGTGCATTGAGAGAGACCGTTATCAGTTTGGCTGTCGTATCCGGACTCTCTCTCTCTCTCTCTCTCTCTCTCTCTCTCTCTCTCTCTCTCTCTCTCTCATATCAAAGTCACTGTGGCAATTAGGGGGACACATACGTGGAGGAAGATCCCTCCTCGCTCACCACACATGCATGGGGGGAGAACCGTAGATGATGATGATGAGGGGCGAAAGGTGAAAAGAGAAGGAGAGAGAGAGAGAGAGAGAGAGAGAGAGAGAGAGAGAGAGAGAGAGAGAGAGAGAGAGAGAGAGAGAGAGAGAGAGAGATTCTCTTTTCACCTTTCGCCCCTCATCATCATCATCTACGGTTCTCCCCCCATGCATGTGTGGTGAGCGAGGAGGGATCTTCCTCCACGTATGTGTCCCCCTAATTGCCACAGTGACTTTGATTGATGATGCAAGTGCCTTGTCAGCGTTCTGAGTCATTTGAATTTTGAATTAGATCAATTGTCTTTCAGTCTTCCGCTGTGCAACCCGCACAGTTTCAGACTAAGAAATCAGCACTGCCCGAGAAAAGTTGCTGTCTTTGATTTTTTTCTTTTTTTTTTAAAGAAGCAGGCTCGGATCTATTCGTGAGGAGCGGCACGTGCTGGGAACCGGGCCCAGCGTCCAATATGAAATATACATCAATCTGGAGTACTGGGGCCATCGCCCGGCTTCGGCTATGAAAAGCAGCAGCTCCTTTCTGCTGGACTCAGGGTCCAGCTTCCCTTTTCTGTCTTTGATCTGTTTGCTGAGATTTCCGATTCTGAGTCTGTTTTGCTGAGTTTTCTCTGTGTGTGTGTGCGTGTGTGTGTGTGTGTGTGTGTGTGTGTGTGTGTGTGTTGTGTGTGTGTGTGTGTTTGGGGGGGGGGGGGGGGGGGGGGTGGTTTTAAAAAAAATTATCTTCAAGAAAAAAAATTTGGGGACATTTAGACAAAAGCCTTATAGTCCGTGTTAGCCACATAAACACATACACACATACACAGCGTATACACATAATAAAAAGTAGGAGCAATTAGAGTTAACATGTTAGGAGGTGTTAGGAGAGGGTCAGAAGACCCAACCATAGGGGGGGTGCACGCCCTTAAGCGCGCTTTTCACCGCCCAGCACCCATAGCAGCTCATCAGAGGGGTTAGAATCAGTAAAGGCTCCTGTTAGCGTTCGGGGTGGGGGGTGGGGGGTAAGTAAGCAGGGCGTCATAGGTTTCAAGGTGGTACCGAGTTACAGGTTAGCGAGTTCGTACCTGAGCTGTCATGGCTGGTGTCGCAGGGGAGTCAATCGCCGCCATAGTACGAGGATCGTAACGCAGCGTGGTGTCAGCGGGCTTACACAGTAAGCAGATTGCTCAAGACACCGTAGCGCGCCAGACTGCTTCCTTGAACCAGTATCAGTACGAGAGCAGATCTGCTCAAGTAGGGGAGATGCGGATGAAAAGGCTTCGCATGCGGCATGAACCAGCAGGCCAGCGTTGGTGTGGTATGGCGAGTAGTACGGAGTATATGTAAGGGAGTAGCGTGTGCCATCTAGAGTGTGGCCAATGGTAGCTAAGTGCAAGCCATAGGAGTTTTGCGTGGTTGATCATTTTGTGGGGTATGATTAAGGGGTAATCATGTGGATAGCGAAGATAGTAGGGTGCGTGCTATATCTGCATTTTTGGTGAACAGGGTGGGGGAGGGTGTAAGCTAGTGTCGAGATAGCAGGGAGCGGGAACGGGCCGGCAGGTCAGGAAGGGAGAATTTTTCATACGTATTTTGATGGCGGGGTTGGAGTGGACGGTATGCGTTATGTGGGCAAACGTGGGTGGGCAGAGGCAGGTTGGCGACGTTTTTTTGTTTATTGTCTTAAAGCTTATTGTTTTTTATGGGGGAGACGGGCTATGGCGGTAGTCTGCTGCGCTGTACGTTTGTTTTGTAGTGACGCTTCGAGGTGGTGTGTCTCCTGGTGGTATGTTTTTACGGGTGTAGTTGATCTGAGGTGCGAACGTATAGATCAAGCTCTGAGAGGGGGGAAGAGGAAGCAAGGAGCTTGCTGGGGGTAGCCCTGTAGGAGATTCGGATAGGTGGCAGGTAGCCGTGTAGTGGATAGCCTTGCTTTATAGGGGGGATATGGGGTATACAGCAGCTGCGCTTTGCGCCGGTGTAGTTATTACTGGGAACTAATTAGGGGTAGGGTGCATGTTGTCTCGTAGTATATTGCAGAAGGTCATTTTTTCATCGTAATTGGATGGTGTGTGGCTATGTCCGTACTCGTTTTTTGTCGTATCTACTCTTCCTTGCGTGTGTTTGTATTCTTGCGTGTCAGTCGTGTCGTTTCGGGATGGTGCATTAGTGGTCGTGACCCATGAGAAGAAACGGGTTTTGCTATTGTTTTATTTGCCCGTCTTCCATTCGCTCTTTATTTTTATGTTGTTACTTTTAATTCCATATTTCTATCAAGCAGGAAGCCGGTGACCCATAACTGGTATGCCTAGCCTTGTTATGTGGTACACATACCAAAGCTTTGTCAAGTTTGCAACAAAGGCGTGCACTAGGGTATCGGTGGGTTGGTACCGGGGCTGTAGGCAATCCTTTGAAGTTTCCTTAGTTTTATTGGCTGGTTAGGTACTTATCTTTATTATTTTATACAATTCTTTATTTACTAGTTTACTTTATTTATTTATTTTATTTTATTTTATTATTTTTTTAATTTTCATTACTTTATTTATTATTTTTATATTTCTATTTGACGATATATATATCGTCAAATATATATATATATATATTTACTTATTTATTTATTTATTTTTTTTTAAAGGTTTTTATTATTAATATTTATCTATTTATTTATTTATTATTTTTATTTTATTATTTGTCTACTGAATTACTTACGTAATTACTTTTAACATTATTTAAGAAATGGATATGTGTATGTGTGTGTGTGTGTGTGTGTGTGTGACCTCCTGATGACGTATGTTTTGTGTGCTTGCCTGTGCCAAGTCTGTGTTGTTCCCGTGCTAACCCTGTTTTCCGCGTAGCTGTGATTCTGTGCCTCTGGCAGGGGCAGTTTAGTGATAGGTGTAGACACAGGGAAATACCTGAAATTTAGCCACAGAGGGAGTTACCGGAAAATCTAACAGGCTAGGGGTAGCTGTAGAATTTGATAGGAACCCGGTAGGCTTTTCTCTGCAACTTGGGCGGGCCCATTAGCTCCGGTAGGGTTAGGAGAGAGTCCAGTGCCTTCTGGAAGGTCATAATGGCCCAGGTCCTGTGCGTGGACAGGTACTAGGTTAGATTCAGGCCCTGGGGGTGGCTTGCGGACTTCCCCCCAAAGGCAGGAACTTTCTGGAGGTCCTAGCGCACGGGTAGGAGGCAGGTAGCAATCTGAGTAGCGGTATTGGAGGCCGAGAGGCGTGAGTATATCCTTCGATTCGATGGTGCAATGATTGAGTCGCGCTCTTTGGGACATTCACTTGACAGTCATGCTGCAGCTCCACCAAAAGGGAGAAGTGGTGGAGCTACGTGGAGGTGAAGAGAAGCTTGAGGGTGATGGTGAGAGCTCCATGGCTAGGATGAGGGAGAGATGCCTAGCCTAGGAGGGAGTAGCAGTAGAAGCTATGGAGTTGGGATGAGAAGAGTCGAAGCTGAGAGGAGAGGGAAGAAGGATGGAACCCAGAGGACTTACCTTTGGCTATGGTGGACCTTCATCTTCACTAGGCAATGCCTAGATGGCGCTGCATCAGGAAGACCCCTAGAGGGAATCGGTTGGTTTCAGACTTCATCCATGGAGAGTGGGCTATGGTGGCATATGGAGGAAGGAGCATAGGGAGTAGTTGTGTTGTCCTTGAACATCCGGGATCGTGCCAGTGATGATTACTATAATGATGGTGGTGGAGTGGGGATGGATGTCATTGTCTGAGAGTTGAATGTTGCACACAAGTGGTTAACGGGGATACCCACTGTCAGCTCCTGACTAACGGCTCCAAAACTGAAATTAGTGTTTGGGGGTGAAATTTGGTTGTTGTGTGTCAAATTTGGTATCATGTGCAGCGTTGGAATTTCCTCTGCTGAGATTTCTAAAATTTCTAAAATTTCTCAAGATTTCTGAAATTTTGCATCAAGAATGTGGCAGGTGTTTCTTTTGACGAATGCACAATCTTGGTGAGTCTAGGATGGGCCGGATCTCCTGAGGAGGTGATTCTGAAGTAAGTTCAACTCGTTTGAGTGGAGAGTGAGCAATAGGGAGGAAAACGCTGGACCTACCGCCTGGACAACTACTAGGCAGACTACTTGGACGGACCACAACCACTGGAGGCTGGACAATCTACTCAGCGCCCGCATGGTTGCCAACCGTCTTAGTGCGAAGGCAGGAGTCTGGCTGGGGTAGGGAGGGAAGGCGACCGCCTGAAGGTTTGCCGAACGCGTGGTTGGGCAAGGGGCTAGAACCAAGGGGAGATGCCAGTGGTCGTGGTGATGGGGTCCGGACTCACTGTGGAGCACGATGATGTTTGATYTTGACTGCTTGCACTTCTGTCCTGTTCCCACCTTGTACTCAATCTTTCTCTTGCACTGCGATCTCAGGTGAAACGGTTTTCACCTTAAAGTTCACGGTGGCAGATGCAGTACCCAGGGCTCGATCCCTAGACCTCACCTTTACCCATGTACAGTACCGGTTGACCCATGTGTGTTTGAACCCGCGACCTGTGTTCTCAAAGTCGTCTGTTCAGCTGTTGTAGATAGTGTGGTCGTCGGGTCTTGAACCGTAGGTCCGTGTTTAGAGGTCTTAGTAGTAGTA